CAGAGGCTTGTTGGCATTTGTAGGGTGAAAATGAAAATGGTGCCTGGGATGCCCCAGAAGTCAAACTCTCGTTATTGAAGGTCCTCGTGTTGGAAAGGGGGATAACACGATGAAGTTGTTCCTCTAGCCCCACCCCCTCTCCCGCCTTCCAAGATTTTAACGATGGATGTCGGTGATCTCCCCATTTATCTCCCTCTCTCTATCTCTCCTTCTCCGTTCTTCTCCCTTGTTCCTTCTCTCTCTCTCCCTCCCTCTCGCTCTCTCGCTCTCTTCCTCCCTCTCTCTTTCTCTCTTCCCCCACTCACTTGTGCGTTTTTGGCTGGTTTGGGCTCGAGATTTGGGGGGGTTGGGTTTCAGGGTTTTTTGCTGGTTTGGGGCTTGTCGTTCGCACGCCCGGGCAGGAAACCGACTTCATTGCCCGTGACTCGGAGGCTGGTTATGTCATGCATCTACGAGTATGGACCTCCAGAACCATCTTGGCAAAGAGCCTGTTCGCTTGTCCTCAACCCGTATGGAGTGCCACACAACCTGAATGGGGCGGAAGCTGGAACGAGGCCGGAAAGCCGGCCTACCCGGCTGATTCCCTTCTCCTTAGCCTGTATTGGGCGCCAGGTGCAGAGCCGCGACCTGAATGAAGCTGGAGAGGCGAGATCAGAAGGCCCGCTTGCCCGGCTGGTTTGCTTGCCCTCGACCTGTCGTGGGTGCCAGGTCGTCATCATCAACCCGAAGGAGGCTGGAGGCCTGAGCGAAGCCGGAAGGCCGGCTTGCCCGGCTGCTTTAAGTTATCATGGTCAAGTCGAGAACTGGCGCGAGTTCGGCTTGTGATGCAGTTGCACCTTAAGCCCTCAGTATAACAGTAAGGCACAAGTCAGTGTTCGGTTTGCTCCGTGCAGCTTGAAGGCACGAGTTACCTACCCTGGCCCAGAGTCACCGGCCTGCTTCACGCCATGGTTCGGCCAAATCTCCTGGCGTGTCTTATCTGCACCTGCAGATGTGCACGGAAGTGGCAGCGGATATCGGTGTACTTAGCGGGACAGATTCAGGAGTACACGTCGAAAACGGACTGGGCTCTGAAGCTGCCAGACCTGGCACTGCTAGGGAGCCTGGTTCGCTACCCCAAAATCGCGACGAAGATGGTGGACGACCTCGATTTTGCACGACGCCTGCAATGCTTTTCCACCGAGGCTTTCACAGGACTCAACCAGTACGTCAAGAGGAGCATCAAGCTATGCGTGATGCACTTGCGGTCTGTCGAAAGGAAGCAGAAGCGTCTGAAGGCAGAGCAGCTGAAAAGGCAGCTGGGCATCCAACGCAGGGCCATGCGGATCGAGGTCTACCTCGCGAGGAGAGGACACCCCTGACGACCAATGGGGTGATCTCGCCCCGTGAAAGCTGCCGTGCGGAGCAACGAACAGCTGGCGTTGAATTCTAAGGCAGCCTTCTCCGCTTCTGAGTCTTTGTAATGAGCGACGCACATGCAGCAGAGGACAAAACCTAAGTGCTCGTTTATCATACCACGCATGCAGTGCTCTCTCTCCGTCCCGTCCTCCTCCAACATGGGGGCCTGACTCGCTCAGGCGCCCGCCAGCGGCAGGGCCGCTCACTTACGGTGCACGCAAGAGCTTTGTGCTCGCATGCACAGAGGCGGCCGTGGAGCATGCCCGTGCTGTGGAGATGTGTAGCAAAGATGGAAAGAATGTAGAGAAAATGCAACACGTGCAACAAGCCTTGAAAGAGGCTCTGGCCGATACAAAGCAGAAGTAGGCCTTAGCTGTACGCTGTAGGTCGAGTCACAGGCGTTGCACGTCGCGACTTTTGCTTGGGTTCAGAGCTCCTTAGGCCTTTTGCGGATGAGAGTTCCAATTTTGGGCCGTGCACGTTCAACTTTCGCAAGTTAGCTTGACAATATTAAGGCTTTGGGCACACTCATCCGGAAATTTCCAGAACAACTGATGGGGCGGCGCTTTGTCAGTGGAAGTCAAAAGATACCAAGCGTTGTCGCTTTGTTGCCCTCGAACTCTTTGAGCCGAAAACCTTCGCGAAACACACACTGTTACACCGCCTTGTGCAAGAGGGTCTCCGGGCTTATGGTGGAGCCGTGAGTGGACACAGCAGGATAATCGAGCCAGCTGCAGTTGAGCCATTTAGGGTTTTAGGGTCATTTATAGAGTCATTTGGGGTCAATGTAGGGTAAGGGTTGGGCTTAGTGATGTTGGGGCGCTGGTTTTTAGTTGTTGGATTCCTACGGCTTCCACGAAGCCAAAAAAACTTGAGGCTCCCAAAATCCGGGAGCGTAAGCAACCTGCACCCGCAAAGGGGGGTGCAGGTTGCTTACGTTCCTAGATTCGAGGATTTTATAAGGCTGGGTGCACCGGTAGTCCATTATTGGGCCAACTCCCACAGCTACAACACCTCCCCTCCCCCCCCCCCCGCCCACGCCGGGCTGGGCTGGGCTGGGCTGGGCTGGTATGCCGTGCATTCGACTAAGGCCTGTAGGGGGCAGGGCAGGGCAGGGTGTGTCAGGGCGGCGCGCATAAGCAGATGTTCACGCGTACTTGACTCTGATCCTTGTCCAAACTGTAACATGTCGTGTTGCCGTATGAGTCCTAATGCACTGTTTTCATTGAAGTCTATAACTAATGTTACAGGTTCAGCCCCAGCTTCGAGC